AGGTAAAGTAGCAGGATTAGTACTGAAGATATCCCACCATTTAACCTTCACGGTCTTGCCAAGTTGGGGAATGTAGGTATAGTCATGAGTATTATTTTCAGAGATTGAATATTCCCATTTGAGAATCCAGGGAATTTGGTAAATGGCCATGAAATAAAGATGGTAATCATCGGATTCGGTGCAAGTATTATATTCAACAAATTTAGTTTGTAAGGCTTGAAAAGGTTCTGGCATTATTTGGGTCAAAGATCCCCAGATTAAAAACCAATGTCGGAACCAGCTAGGGAACCTTTCAAGGATAGGGAATTTGAATTGGATATACCAGGAGTGTGTATTATTTGGATTTTGGTAAGCAAAGACTTTGTGCCATGCTTCAATATATTCACTATACTTGTATGATTTATATTGAAATCCTGGGTTGAGAAGCTTTTTTCCCTGATTGGGATTGCAGCCCCAATCTTCATATGAAAGTAACTTTTTGATTTGTAATTTTGAATATGCAAATATCTTAGTATTTTCTTGGTAGAAGTGTACTATGGAAACTGAACCAGTTTCCATGAGTATGGCCTCATACCATTCTCGATTCTTGATACCATAAGATGAGTTCATATGGTTAGATAAATATAGGGGAGCTATTTTACATGGGTCCAAGCTAGTATGATTGTCTGAGATAATAACTTCTGGTAAGAAAGCAGTATCAGTATAAATTGACTTGGGAGAATTTGAGGTCTGTTTATTTGGATACGATGCTGGGGTAAATGCTGGACTTGGGGTAACAAATGGACTTTGGGGAGGAGATTGTATTATGTATTCTGGTACATTTGTGGATCTCAAGGGTGACATGGGGGTTAAGTCAAGAGGAGAATGACTGGGCATGAGAGGCCCATATCTATTGCTTTGAATGAGATCCATTGGTTGTTTGCCTTTGGAATGAGGATTCATATTTGTATTAGTATGTTTATTGGAAGGAAAGAATTGCAAACCGTGAGAAGGGAAAATCGTAGGACGAAATGGTTTCGTCTTGTCGTCTTCTTTAGGATGATGGATATGGTCCCCCCTGCAAAAATTCACGGGTTAAAAAGTCAGGAAGAGAATTAGAAGATCCGTGCAGATGTTCAATGGAAAAATCGAAGGCAGATAAAATGGCTTGCCAACGGGCAAAGATTTGTTTAGATACAAGATTTTGGACATCTTTTTGCAGAATATCTTTAGCAGCTTTACAATCAGTTCTTATGAGAAAATGTTGATTGAGAATATCAGTTTGAAATTTGCAAACACAATGGATGATAGCAAGTAGTTCCTTTTTTACAGTGGAATAATTCCGTTGAGTCGGATTCCAGGCTTTAGAAGTAAAACGTATTTATTGTTCTTTAGAATTATTAATAGATTGTTTTAATATGCCTCCAAGGCCAAGATCAGAAGCATCACATTCAATGATTTTAAATGCTGTGGGATCAACTAGGTTTAAACATGGAAGTTCTTTAGCTTTAGATTTAAGTCGTTGGACGGCTAAAGTATGAATATTAGTCCATGGGGGAGGATTCTTTTTTAAGCGATCATATAGAGGTTTTGCATCTAAAGCAAGATTTTGGTAAAAATCACTTATGTAATTAAGACATCCTAGAAAGCGTTGTAATTCAGTTTTGTCTAAGATTTTATCAGGGAATTTATCAGCAAAAAGTATTGAGCGATCAATTGGGATGATAGTTCCTTGATTTATATTATGTCCTAAGAATCTGATTTTTGTTTGAAATAAGTTTAACTTTGTAGAGGAAACTACTAAACCAGATGTCTTTATTAAATGGATAAAAGTATGTAAGTGTTTGAAATGCTGTTCCATGGATTCAGAGAAGACTAGAATATCATCAATATAAACAATCATAAATTTGTAAAAGGGATTGAATATATCATTCATTATTTTTTGAAATTCAGATGGAGCATTTTTAAGACCAAAGGGCATGACATTCCACTCATATTGTCCAAAAGGAACATTAAAGGCTGTTTTGTATTTATCCTTCTCTTCTATTTGGATTTGCCAAAAACCAGATTTTAAATCGAATTTGGAGAAGATTACAGCATGTAATAATCTATCTAGTAGATCTTTTTTATTTGGAATAGGATATCGGATCCATTTTAAAACTTTATTAAGGGGTTTATAATTGATAACTAATCGAGGAACACCTCTTTCTTGTTCAGCATTTTTATTAACATAGAAAGCAGAACAACTCCAAGGAGAAGTACTAGGACGTATTAATTTCTTTTGGAGTAGGTTGTTTATTTCTGTTTGACATGTTTGTAATAGTTCAGTATTCATTTGAATTGGCCTGGCTTTAGTCGGTATTAAAACTAGGTTCATATGGTAATCCTACTATATGTTGTTTTCTATGCCAAAAAGCATTAGGTAGTTCATTACATATTTCTTTTTCAATAAAACTTTTAAGATATTGTATTTTTTGTATTATTTCAGGAGATTGGAGTTTCTCGCTTATAAGCTTATGTTTGATTTCCAATTGTAAGGATCCTAGGAAGTTTTCTTTATTTTTCATATTCTGTTTAACAATATTTATTTCTTTAATTCTTGGTTTATCAAGAAATTCAAATCTAATGGGTGTACCATGTATATTTGTTTCAAGGCCTGTATGGGAAACTATAACTGGATATAATAAAGTAAGAAAAGGGACTCCTAGGATTACAGCTTGGCTAAGTCCTTTAACCATGATAAATGGAGTAGGGAAGCAATGTCCTTCCTTACATATTTTTGCATTTGGAAGTTTGTATTTGATAAATAATCTACTACCATCGGCTGTATTAAGGATTTGGGTAGTTTTATCAAAATATTTGGTAGGAACGAGTCCTTCATTAAGACAATTTAAATCAGCTCCTGAATCTATTAATGCTAAGGATTGAAACTCAAATTCATCATTTATCACAATAGTTATTAATACAAACCATTTTTGGGTTATTACCTTATTTATAATATTAACCGAATGCCTATTGGATGATGGTTCACCATAAGTCATTTGGTCTAAATAATCATTGGGATGATATGATTGGAGTAAATGATTGAATTCTACTATGTCTTCCTCAGTATGTACTTCGGAAGCATTATGTACTTCGGAAGCATTATTATGAAGTTCGAGAACTTGAATTCTTGTTTTTAGTTGGGATAATTCTATTTTTACAGTATTGACTTCAGCTTTCAGGTCAGCAATAGTGGGTTCCTTTTGGGTAGCTTCATGCTGACTGATTCTTTTCATAATATCAGAAAAATTATAATTATCAGGAGGTTTAACCAATGGTGTATGTTTTGTTTTTGATTTAGTTAGATTAATAAATTGAGTAATTATTTCTCTTTTTTCATTGGGATCGGATATTTTTTCTATCAAATCTAGAATAAGATTATCTTCTTTGGTTAATGTATGAATATCAGATGAAATAGGGCATCTACATATTTCATTATTATTTTCTATATCCGAGCTATTATCTGACCAATAAAAATCATCATTATGTATTGTACCTATAAAAGAAGTATCACTACTAGAAGAAGTAGTATCTGAACTTGAACTATCTGATGAATCGTATAATTGAATAATATCGTAGATTTTATTTCTAATGGATTCATCTAAAGTAATAGAGTCTAATTTTTGTTTAACTTTACATTGGCTCTTGTAATGGCCTACTTTTCCGCATTTATAACAAACAGGTAATTTTCTCTTATTTTGAAATGATTTAGAAGCAAAGCTTTTTGTAAATTTCTTATATTTTTTCTGTTTAGTTGGAAAAGATTTATATGTTTTATCGGGTTTATCTCGATGTTTTTTCTTTTTATATACTTTATGTATTTTATGCGGTTTGGTTCTTTCTATATGTCCTTGGTCCATATGATAGCCAAATTGTTGGCAGAAATCGCCTAATTCCTTTTTGCCACTTAAATTTTGTTTATCAAGTTGTTTTTTGAGTTTTAGGTCTGTGCATAGGGCTAAGCCTTCAGCACAAATTTCTGAAGATAATTCGCCTAAAGTATATTGGGAATAATTTATAATACCGCTATTTTTATTTTTGAGACGTTCTTTTACTTTTTCAGCAAAGAGGTAAGGTAGTCCTGCTACAAATTTTTCTTTCCAGTGATCAAGATGACTGTCTTCCCGTATAAGTAATCGGGAGAAAAAAACGTCTTTATACCATTTATAATGTGACAATGTTGGACATCTTAAATTAGATAAAAGATCAGCAGTCCTTGCTGCAAGTATTGATGTATTTCCTATGAAATGAAGAGCAATCGTATATATCAAAGAGTTGACAGCATCACTCTCGGAATATACCATATCTTGATTATGTTCATTTTTTGCTGTCCATTGTCTAGTATTTGTTAATATTTGTTGTTTTGTCTGATCATTTAAGTATGAATCCCACCATCCTCTCAGCCATCCAGTGAAACCTGAGACTATAGCTTTGGCTATTTCTTGGTCATGGCTTCCAGCCATTTTACAAGCAGATGCATACATAGTCATATGCTTCATTGTATCTAGGATCCTATGATCAGAGATACCGTCTATATTCCAATCGATGATGGTTCGTCCAGAATATGTAGAAGTATGACTTGTTAGGTCTTCTTCTAATTGTATATCTACGGGAGTTGGTCTTTTATAATATGGACGAGCATTTATTGGTTGCCAATTTTTGCTATAATTGATTCGATTGATACTTTCTGGGGTTAGTTGTATTTCTGAAAATGCCTTTTGCATATTTTGTATTGTATTGTCAATTGATGGTCCTATAGATGGTTCTATGGTTTCATTGGTCTGGAAGAGTGTTTCTTCTTGTAATGTCATATTATCACGTTCAGGAATTTTTGCTTTTCCTTTGTCATGTTCTTTAGGATGATGGATATGGTCCCCCCTGCAAGAATATATATATATACTTGCCCATCAGATGCTAGTTTCGTAATTTAAACCATCACGGTGCCAGTGCACGTCTTTTTGTAGCACGTATAAAACGAGGGGAACCAATTTGAAAGTTTGGAAAGCTTTTTGTTCAGAGAGGGAGCGAGTTTCAGATAGAGAGAGAGAGTTTTAGAGGGAAAGAACAATGGCGAGTTGGGTCCAATGCTTCAAGCGACAAGAAAAACCAGGTAATTTCATTCTCCACACCTTAACCTTACTTCAATTTAATTGTCTCTTTCGTGTTCTTCTTCTGTTCCCTTTGTAAACCTCAAATATGAAGAATCTTTTATTGTTATGAAGTCCATTTTTCTATCAATAATTATGGATTAATTGATTTTACAGAGATTAATGGTGGATTTCCTTGGGTTTTTTTAGTTGTATGGAGACAACTACTCCCTGGAAATTTATATGGAACTTGTTAATTATGATGAAATTTTTTTCAATATGACGTTAATGGCTGGAAATGTGAAGGTGGGGGAATGCAGAATTGAATTAGAATCAGTGGATATTTGAAATGGTTTATTGTTCTTGGTTTTTTTTTTGAGTTTTGAATCTTTGTGGGGCGTAAATCATGTTATGGATTCTTTTCTTGTAGATGAGCCAAGTTCGTTGAACTGATATGAAATTTGACATAAATTTTTTGTCTGCTGTCTCAAGATTTACTTGAATAGGAGGAAATATGGTTTAAATTGGGATAAGTTTTACTTAAATTGGGGCAGAGTTCATCAAGAAATTAAGAGTCACAGTCTCTGTGAATCAATTTGCAATTCCAGGATTATATTGACACATTCTTGAAAGTAATGTAAATTGTTAGAAATATGTATAATTGGGAACTTAGAAAGGTTTAAATATTCATGGAGGATGAAGTTGTTAGAGATTTACTTTTAGGTTTAAGGACTGATACGCATATTATTTGAATGACTTCTAACGGATACTTACCTGGTATTTGCTCCAATTAGGGCTTAAATGGGACTGATTTTTGCATAAATCTCTGATTGATGTCTCAAGATTGGATCAAAGCTTTATGTTAATAAATTTTGCCTTAGGTGTTTTGAATTGAAATCTTTGCCCCTGATTTTGATTTTCTAAAGTGAAATGAAATTGAATGATAAACCAGAGAGGTATTTCTTGGGAATTTCCTGATTTTTCAGCTGTTCCACTCCCTTTATTTTAATTTAGCGACCCATGTGGAGATGGCCAGATGAAGAACACTATGGACTGATATAGAGAGACATACATGACTCCATGTTGAACCTAATAAAATGGAGATAATGAAGGGCTAATATGTTTCACCATGGACATTGTTTGAATTTAGTCTTGATATCTATGTTGTTGTGGTGGTTGTTGAACTCTTTGATTGGCAGACATGGTTCTTGAAGAGATGCATGAGAGCAAGTGCAGACTATGGTTGTTCTTGGATTTCGATTTAGTTTCATCAATGTATGTTTATCATGGCAGGGTGGATACATGGGAAATGCAGGGTACAAGGATACTGGCATAACGTGGCTGACTGTATGCTTAATATCAATCTAAGTTTGGATGAGGTAAGACCTGAAGACTCCAGGAATAGAGTTGGTCACGCAAGGACGCATGGTACTCCTACGGCTGAGACTTCAACGTCGCTTCCATGTAGCAATCAACCTCAAGGTTATGTGGATTTGACAGAAGCTTCAGGTCAACATGCGAGCTCTAGCGCACAACATAATGAAGTGACTAGCCTGGCTGTTGATAATCACGACATCAGTAAGGCTAGTTGCGAAAGAACCAACCAAGACACCAGTGAAACTCAAATACATGGCAGTGCTATGGCTGATACTTCAAGCAGCAATGAGCCTCAAGGTCATGTGGCTTTAACCCAAGCTTCAGGTCAACATGCAAGCTCTAGTACACAAGAGAATTCAATGACACAGTTTGATCCATTTCATTATGGCCTGCTTCTTGGTAATCAGAACATTAGTGAGGCAACATGTGAAAGCCCTTACCAAGGAATCAATCATGCATGGATACGTGGTGGTGCTGTGGCTGACACTATAAGTAGCAATCAACCTCAAGTTGATGTGGATTTGACCATAGAAGCTGATAACCAGAACATCGGTGAGGCTAGATGTGAAAGTCGTAATCAAGAAATCCGTCAAAGATGGAGACATGGTAGTGCTATGGCTGACACTGTAAGTAGCAATCAACCTCAAGTTGAGGTGGATTTGACCATAGAAGTTGATAACCAGAACATCAGTGAGGCTAGATGTGAAAGTCGTAATCAAGAAATCCGTCAAAGATGGAGACATGGTAGTGCTAGGGCTGATACTTCAAGTAGCAATTGATCTCAAGGTTATGTGGACTTGATCCAAGCTTCAGGTCAACGTGCAAGCTCTAGTGCACAATGTAATCAAGTGACACAGTTTGATCCATTTCATTAGTAATCAGAACATCAGTGAGGCTAGACGTGAAATTCCTAACCAAAAAATCAGTCAAAGATGGATACTTGGTGGTGCTATGGCTGGCCCTTCACTCCAACTTCCATATCGCCTTCCACCACAAGGTAATTATCAGGTATCAGGTCCTATGAGTGTAAATGCACACCAAGAATGGGCACACTTAGCTCAAGGGAGTAACAGCCAATTGAATACCCTAGGAAATAGAAATGTACCTCATGCAGTTCAATTTGGTCGTCTAAACACAATCATGACCACCGGGTTTATAATGACAATCAAGTTTCACAAAATGTCAATCCATATGTCCAAGATCCATCTTCTGGGTTTCCTAATACTGAAATCCCCCGTAGGTTTGGTATATCACCTGAAGGAGGGAACCTTGAAGCTGTTCATGCGTTCAATGACAATGTTGCCAACTGCCCATTCATGGTTTCTAATGAGCAAATTCAAGTTGTGCAAGGATTTCCTATCCAATCTCCGAGGCATATTGTAGCTCATGATTCCAGGGCGTGTCAACATCAAACTGGATCTACTGTTCGAAACCCATCATTTGGCTTCCCTTCTCAACAGAGGTCTGATATTAGGCTGGGGAATTCCTTCTCTGGACATGAATTAATAGGGAGCTTTCAAGCAGTAATTAGAACAGCTGAAGGATCACAGATTATGGCTCATGATCCAAGGCCACATCAATATCACCCTGGATAATCTATTGTTCGAAACCCATTCTTTGGCTTCCTTTCTCAACAGAGGTCTGATATTAGGCTGGGGAATTCCTTCTCTAGATATGAATTAATAGGGAGCTCTCCAGCAGTGAGTGGAACAGCTGAAGGATCACAGATTATGGCTCATGATCCAAGGCTGCATCAATATCACCATGGATATTTTAATCCAAACCTAGTCCTTAGCATGCAGTCTCAGCAAGGCATGCTTCCTTTTATTCAAGGAAGAGATGCTAGAAGCATGGCTCGATGTTCACGACCAGGTATGGCTGTGATACTTTTCCATGTTGCATTTGTTTCTGTCTTCTCTAATATACACTAAAATGCGGGTTTAAATCTTGCATTGAGGTGTACTGGGTTAGCTTGCCTCTTGGATTCTTAACTAGTTGATTGATTACACAAGTAGCATTCCATGCATAGGTGCGCCACCATCAGGATGACTATTGGCATGTCCACTCTTGGATTAATTGTGCAATGGTTTAGTTATATTATCACGAAACCTTGTTGTAGGTCCCATAAGCTTGTCAGAAATGGTTAGAGTCCTTTAAAGCAATTTTGTTGGTAATGCACGTGTGGAATTTGCCCTCTTCTTCCTGTACTTACTCTGCATTCATACTTACATGTTCTTTATATTTTGTGGATCTCCCACAGTCCACTTTCATGTTGCCTCCTTTTCTTTTTTTCCTCTTAATTGTTTGTTCTTTTCTTGAATCATTGTCTTGTTTTGGCAACCTATTTATATCACTATTTTTGTAGTTTGGAATTAGTTTTCCTTGTGGATAGCTTACTGGGATGAAAAAATATGAAAGGATTCAACAATCCTAATGGAACCATTGGATTCATTTACATCATCATCTTCCAAACCTTACCCCAATTATTGGATTCATTTACAAATATGCCCTTATTGGCATTCCTGATTCAAAATTTACCTCTAGAAATGATGTGCAGTAAGAAACATTGAACTTTTCATGGATATGAGCTCTGATAGGGTATCCAGTTCTAGAATCCATGCCGTATCTCCGATACTTGCCTTCAGTTGAATGCAGTGTTTAACTCCTTTGTTGAGTTACTTGCCGAGCCGAGTACCCTGTTATAACTAGGGCATATAAAAAGTAAAATAAAAACTATATAAATAATTTGTGGGATCAATGTATAAAAATTGTAGATGTAATTTGGATGTTTTATCAATAATTTGTGAGTTTGTCTTGCCATATGCTTTATTTTGTATTTTCCTCTATTTTTTTGATTTTTTGGAATGTCTCCAACTATAAATCAAAATTTATATTTCCATGTTTTAGATTTTTTTTCTGAGCTTATTTGAAATTTTATGTTTTATTTTTGGTTTTGGTTCACATGTAATTTTTTTTATATTATTTAGCTATTTTTTTTTTTAATTTTAAGGGACTTTTAGGCCCCGTACTTTACTCGGTCAAGTCCACTCTGACTCGGCGGCTTGGGCCAGGGCCAAGTCTGAGGCCCAAGCCAAGTTTAACGGCATTAGTTGAATAAGTCAATATAAATCATTAACCAGAGGTGGTAATGAATGTAGCTTGATGGCAATCTTCCTACTCCAGTAGTTCAGTTTCGGAATTAGATATTAATATTTTATTTAACGAAAAGATAATATTCAATTATGTGATAACTCTAGAAAATCATCCTAGCCACGCATAAGGTTGCATACATTTTCATCTCCAAGTTCCAAAATTGAAATATCAAGGTGCTGTCCTCAATTTTCTGACCCTTTTTTGAAGAATTTATTTATTTCCTTGAGCGCTATACAGATATTTAATGCTTTTTAGATTAAAAACATTTCAAAGCTATGAAGAAGCTACATTACTAAGTGTTTGTGTCTTGTTTCTTAATAGCCCATTGTGTATGTATAGTGGACAGCAGCCAAGTCATTGAGGTGGTGCATGAAGTCTTTTCTACCTTCTTTTAGGTGTAAAAGAATACAATCACATATTCGGAGAGCACATCAAACTGGTGATTCACATTCCAATATGTTTCACAGCTGCACTTACTTGAGTTTGGATCGTACCTACACAGTGAAATAATTTGAAATCTTCAGTTTTGTAGTATGTAGGTTACAATTGCACCATTAAGCTACTATCTGGAAGGGCATAGATATACTACTTATGCTTCCCCCCGGACATTTAGCATTTCTAAGAAGGCCTTAGATCTTTAACTTAAGGAAAATTTTCAAGATATAAAGCAAGCAAATCCAGAATTTGAGTTTTTTCTTTCTTTTTAAAAGAGGAAATCAGGGTTTTAACTATTGTATAGCATCTTTGGGCAACCCGTAAGGGGTTGTATAGTGCACCCAGTCTTTGGGCTGCCTATTGTTTGCACAATGTACACTTTTCCTTTAATATAAAGGTAACAGTTTCTAAAAGAAACCAGTGGGACATGAGGAGACTTCTATGGGAGCAACCCGTTCTAGTCCCTACTCTTGTCCAAAGCAGAAATAACTTCAAAATTCTGATCGAACTCTATGCAATTATGTGGCTATAAGCACATTTAACTTGTAATATTAGCTTTTCTATCGTTTTCCCAACATGAAATAATAGTTGTTATGTGATGCTTTAGAATGAACTTGGTATTTGGAAAGTTTTTGTCTTCTGTTTCCTCTAAGACAGTCGCTTACCAAATCTATTGAAATGTACTTACTATGCGACCTGCATAGCTCTTGGACGAAAATTGTACATATGCCTTAAGGGGCGTTTGAATACCTAGAAATATATTTTTTGTGAAATATATTACTGGCAGTAAGCATAATACATTACCTGCAAATGGATTGTCACTGTTTGCGTAATATTTAGATGTAACTTGAGAAATACATTGTTACTGTTTGCCATTGTTTGAAACGGTGAAAGGTGAAAATTCTTCCAGGGAAATCTTTCCACATTGAAAGTGAAAAATCTATTACGCGCTGGGGTAATCGGGGGAATCTTTCGTGTGGGCGATTTTCGCTATCTAAATTCGGTGATTTTCGCTACCCACAAATCCCGTGATTCACCTCCTAATAAACTAAAAAATAAAAAATAAAAAAGGTTTTGAAACAAATAACTCCCTATTTAAACCTCAAAATATACACATCAGCTCCATCTTCTTCAATACAGCTAAAATCCTTTTTAAACACCCGCTCCATCTTCTTCAACTCAGAAGATTCATTTTTTGGGTTTTGCAGTTGTAGCTATTGTTCAATAAAGCTATTCTTCCAAAAAATAAATTAGCAGCTATTTTTCCAAAAAAAAAAAACATTGCTGCTATTGTTTGCTGATACATATGAAATACTTGAGTTCACTCACAGAGAATCGTCAAATCAGTTTGAATTTTTTTGTTTTTGAAACTTTTTTAAGTTATTGAACTTATAAAGAATCGTCAAATCAGTTTGAATTGTTTTTTTTTTTACCCATATAAGAAATAACGATAAACATGCTAGTTTGTCTAATGCTCTATCTTTTTTTTTTTTTTCTCAAATGAATGAGATATCACAGAAATGTCATGCCCTCTAAAGTGAACTCAAGTATTTCGAATTGATCACAATAATGTACGCGGAAATGCATTATCAATATTTTTTTAGACGTACATTATTGGTAATGCATCACCCTCTAAGGTGAGTGAACTCAAGTAATTTTTTGGCATACATTATTGTGATCGTCTATTCCTTATGTGTATTCTTTGTCAAATTTACGTAGTTTTGTACAGCTTATTGCTTTCACTTTTGTAAAAATTTTGGCACTTTTTTAAATAGGATTGAAGAGTACCAATGAATTCTTGGATGAACATTTCTTTCGAGTATTGGAGTTCTGGTTTTTCTGATGTTGTGGTGGTTATTATGTTCTTTCACAGATTAATAAGTATATTGGGGTGGAAATGAGTTCATTTTTGTTATTGAGTCTGCGAGAGTACACAAATCTTCTCTGGGATGAAATTGAAATTGCCGAACCATCTAAATTTTGAAAATTCTGTACGAATGCAGTCTTTCCAGTTGAGCTCTGTGGTGGATAAAGCCAATTTTGAGAGAGTCATAAATCCCAGGGTCGTAGAACCATAGTCGTTGAATTTCCTATATTTTGCAAATAAATTCACAAATAGTTTGTACATATAAATATGACGAATACTTTGTGAATAGAAATGTTTCCTTACTATGACTCAATTATGAGTGTCTCGTAAATTAGATGATATCTCGAGAGCCCATGACTAGGAAGTTTTACTCAGTAGATGAGCAATAAGTATATTAATTAAATGTATGGAGTGAGAGAAAGCCAAGTGTGAAATAAGCACACTTCAAAGCAGAGTACAAAAGTTGGTGGATCAATTTGATTTACAGACCTGCCCTACGCAAGCTACTGCTCTTACTTGCTTCATATTTTAATTATATGACTTGTAGAGAGAGAGAGAGAGAAAAAGAGTTTGTTGCATAGTACTCCTGCTATTATAGCTTACAGAGACAGAGAGAGTCTACAAATATGATCCACATGACCAGTGAAACATAAAGGACTAGGAAAGTCTACAAATATGATCCATATGTCTGTACAATTACAACCATGACCTCTATGGGCTTTATCACCGTATAGTACAACTATGACCTCTATGGGCTTTATCACCGTATAGTCATTTCGTGGGACGGTGGGATCTTCTTTCTCATGCACCACACAAGTCCATCTCAATAATTGAACGGTGATAACCACTAGGTCACAACCTCCACATCAGCCCCACATGGAGATGAGGGGAAGAAAGCACGCGTCCAATCCCCTCGATTCCATGGATCATATATGAGGACTATAAAAGCCATATTATCAAGTTTGAGTTGTCCCGGACCCGACATGATCTATTTACCGACCTAAATATTAGGATTGCCAGTATTATCAGGATCGGACCAATCTTCAAACCAACATGGGGACTAGTCTAGTTAAAACCAGTTCGATCAAAATATTAGGATTGTCAGTATTGTTCATATTTTTCGACCTGGTTTAAAAGTATGTAATATAGTAAAAAAGTTCGAATAATATTTTAAAAATATGTGATATAGTAAAAAGGGAAAAGTTTATATAGAGCCGAGGCTTTAAACAATCAAATTTAAGCCTATTTTAAAACTTTTTTTAGAAGATATTGTTTTGATGCCCAAATATCTTCAAATTGGTCATCTCAACATCAAGATGCATGGACATGTGATAAAAAAATGGATTTCAAATTTTAGAAATAGTGTATTTTGTAATGTATTTTTAAACCGTCAATTTTCAAAATTTTCAAGTTTTCATAGATCTATCAATCTATATTATTTTTATCTTTAAATTTTATAAATAAAAATGAAAATATATTTTAAAGCCATCACAAATACTTTCAATAGTGAAACCGTATTTCTGGATACTATTTGAAAGGGGCTCTAATTTGATTGGTTAGAGCCTAAGCTCTATACAAACCGTACCAAAAGATGTTGACTAAGTTAGCCCACAGGTCAAAAGCAGCCAGGTTGCTCGCGTTTGAGCGGTTTTTTACTAAAGCCGATTTTTTGCTTTTCGGACTAAAGCCGGTTTTTTACGAAAGGAATATGCTAGTAGTGCTTAAAATATTCTTTTGGTTTCGAAATAAGCATTTTACTTACAACAACTACCTCTCTATGACAGTAATTTTAATGAACTCTAGGCATATGACATTAAAAAATTTCAATGTCCTTCATTGGAGCCATATTGGTTGAAATTTAAATACAAATAAGGCTGTTTTCTTCAAAATCGGTTGATATATCTTTTTTAGATAAAAAAGATAGTCCTCTATTAAACTTGAATAGGAATGCTATTCTATACCTAAGGTCTACGGAAATTATATCGTCCACAGGGTCACGTCCATTCATTGAATGAAATGGTGGACTTTCCTGAAGAGAGAATTGGATCCCCTATAGGTTCTATTCTTTCACCATCACTATCCATCATTTCACCATCATCATCCATTATTTCGATGATGCTCTGGTGGACTATTATTTCTCCTAGAAAATTATAGTAATAAGTTCCCATAAACAATTGGAGTAGATGTCATTAAGGTGGTTCATATGAAATGACAAGCAAGAGGACCAGAATTTTGGCACACTCTCATGATTTGATATATACCTTTTTCATGAATCTTAGGAATTAAGATACTTTTTTTAACATAGAGAGAGAAGACAAGAGATATATGGAGAGAGAAAAAAAAAAGAGAGAGAGATTGAGAAATTTAGAGAGAGAGAGAGATGATTTAAAAAAAAAATAGAGAGATGTATTTGAGAGAGGTTAATGGGTCCATTTTCAAAGAGGGTTCGACTATGTTTAGAGAGAGAGAGCTCTAGGAAGAATAATAAGGTGAGGTTTATATACGGTATCAACCTTAAACAATTGGTAAGGTGCACCTCAAAATCTCATGACGTATTTTTGATACTGAAACACTTATCATGGCGTAAAATTGAAAATTGAAAGCTCCAAAAATAACAAAAAACTATCAAATTCATGAACACTCGAAAATCTTGAAAATAGATTGTCTAAATAATATGTTATAAGATGCAATATTTTTAAGATTTGAAGTTTATCTTTCCTTTTCGTATCCATATATATCTTACATCGAGGTCAAGATGATAAAAAAAAAATTTAATTACAAAACAACCTTTTTCTAAAGGTTTTTGAGGTGAACTTTACTTCTACGGTATAAAGTTGGCACCTTATATAAACTTGTTCCTAAATAATAAGTAGAAAAGAAAGGCAAGAGTGAACCATACTATATCTATTGATAGGTATGTAACTTAGGCTCTTTAAGTCTTCTCCCAAAAGCTGACAAAAAAATACAGAAACTACACGAAGCAGAGGGTCCCAATTCAAAGGCAATACCTGCAATAAAAACATGAATAAATCGGTGGCGAGGAAAAACATAAAACAGCTGCTGCCTCGTATCTTTCGCAATTTGTCCACCACGCAAGGACTCCCTGTGCCTTATTATCCCCCTCTCTCTCTCTCTCTAAGAAACCCCAAATGCACACTCTTTCTCCATTTCTTAGATCAAGGACCCCTCTTTCTGGTTCTTAGATGGCCTATTTCGAGCAGTGATTTTTGTTTTCGAGCAGTGATTTTTGTTTGCTTTTTTGGCAAAAAATGGGTCAAACAGAGGTACCATCTTCAGATCAGGAGAGGACTCAAACCCCCATCTCTCAAACTAGGGATTTTTGGAACTCTAGAAAGAGAAACGGTACTGCTCCCAATCTCTCTCTCTAAGTTGTATCTTAGGTGTTTTCTTTCGATGGATTTTTTATAGCTGCTGTATATTTGCCGATCTGAAGGTTCCCTCTTCTCTCTCTCTCTCTCTCTCTCTCTCTCTCTCTGATTCTGACGATTTTTTCCGACTTCAACATGCAAGCAAGGGTTTAAATAAAATAAATGTTTTATTTTTGCATGCTTTGATTTTGGATCTTTCGATTAGAAACCTCGATATCTGTTCCATTGGTATTTCTCACATTTTGTAAGAGTAAAGAAATGTTTCTCATTACTTGATTCTTAGCTGGCCCTCTTTTTGTGTTCCCTTTCTTATTTTCTTTTTTAAAGTTTCTTATTTCTCATTTTTGGCCAATAATTAGTTAGTTAATTAGAGTAAGTCTAAGAAATAATAAGTCTTTAAAACTCCTCTTTTGAACCTACTTTTTTGCCAAGATTTTTGTTGGATATCTCGAAACTTTGAGTTTATGAGGTGATTGTACTTGACTTTATTTTATTAAATAAAAATTCTTAAGCGTTCAATAGATGGTAAAAATGGCGATTAAATGCTTTTATATATAAATAAGGCTTTTGTTGTTTGTAGATGTCAAGGTAAAGTAATAGTTTAGTGTGTAAGTGATACATACATGTGGTGTAAAATAGTTAGTTTAATGCAAAACAAGTTACAAAATGTGTTGTTTGTGGCATTTTCTTTTTGGGGCGTGGTTCTAAATGCCATAGAAAATTTGACCTAAATTTAGGTATAAGGGCCATGAGCTTTTTATTGTTTTTCTTTTGAAGATTTTTAATGGGCCAAGTTATGGTAAATTTCATTAGAAAAGTGTCAACATTACAACATGTGACCAAAATTATCAATAAAAGAGACAAATTTCACCAAGTTTACAAGTTTGTAGATTACAAAGAAGGAAAGTAAAAAAGAAAATAAAATAAAAAATGTCCAAGTTCTAGCCTCTCCTTTTCAGTAACAAGTTGAATTTGTCCCAAATTCCATTTACCATAACCAAATTCACATTCAAAATATGCTTCCAATTACTAACACTGGTTTTCCATTAGCCAATGTCATAGATGTGGGTAACATCAACAAAGGGATGATGGATGAGAGCTTGAAAACACCTGATAAAAAGGAAACACCTCCTATCAACGAGAACCATGTTGAGGCTATGAGCATAGAGCTATCAGGTCGCCGAAAAGCTCTCTTTGAGCCATTGGGACCAACCAAAAGACCGGCTGAGTCCTTGTTACCACCACCAGACTTTGACAGTGCATCGTATCCGCGAGGGTGGCTTGTTGGAAAGAAACGTAAGCTTGTCAATGTTGATGTGGTCGAGAGCATGAGGCGCATTGCCGTTCAAGAGATGAACAGGAAGGTTTTGCATGTTGAATCCCATTTCATATAGATAAATTCTGAAGACACTTTTAGGCTACTTTTCATTGAAAACTCGGTTTTTGGAAAAATTTTGAAAATTCTGTATCATAATATGTGTATACACAAAGAAAGTTGATGCCAATTTCAGAATTGTATTTGAAACTTATTGTGGGAGTTGCAATCTGATTTTCCCATGTAAAACTCCTAGCTTTCACTGACATATTATTGTTCAGAAAGCAGCAGACTTCCTTAATACAACCAATCTTTCTTTTTAATTTTCAGTAACATCTACTTTTGTTAAGCTTGCCATAGTTCTATTCTCCCATTAAAGGTAGAAAATATGACAAAAGGTCTGCAAATTTTGCTCTCCTAGAAATCTATGAATGTATTACATCTTGTGGAACTGTTCAAAATTCTGTTTACAAACAAACCCAAACTCACTATTGGAATTCGACATTGATAGGATCGAGAGATAGATGGATTAAACGAGCAACTAGAAGAGGATGCCCGATGCCTCGAACACTTGCAAGTCCAGCTCCAAGAGGAGCGTAATAAGCATGCTGCTGTCGAGAGGGAAAATGGCTTGTTACAAAGCCAAATTACCATGTTGATGAGCATGTTGCAGGGAAATGAGGATACGGAGGAAGAACACACTTATGAACCCTAGCAAGATGATTTTCCAATTCATATCAAAGTTGTATACCTTTGTTGTTTTGAGTGTTGATCAGTCATTGATTTATATATACAAATACATATATTCCTAGATTTGTTCATTAAGTTGTACTCATAAAGGAGTTTGGAAATGTAAGCTTGAATTACAGCAAGTACATTTGCATTTATTCTACTTATTGGCGAGTGACAAATCTCAATTTGGAGACACTCCATTTAGAAAAACTACAAAAATATTCATGCTTGCCTATGATATGAAGCTATCCACAAGAAGTTTGAGATTAATACCATTCACAAATTTCTCAAAAGAATCATTCTAAAATTTACTATAGCAAAAAAGCATACTGAAATTTAAACTTTGAATTGAAGCAACAATTCCTGCACAGTATGTCAATCACAATAGTAACTCAAATCCTCATATCTCAAAGCTGGATCTTTATAACATTTTTACAGAGCACCCACAAACTTAATTGAGCACATCCCTGTACTCACCCCCTCTCTTCTCTCTACCACCACTCATCAAGATTCATCATCAGTATATCACCTAATCAGAATCCTGATAACTTAACCTAAACCACCATTACACCATTTGAGGCATCCATCGTCCTATCAAAGATACCGAATTGACCCTGAAGGAAAAGAAAAAATAAGAACATTTTGGTACAATTTATACAAGGTTTTTCACCCAAGGGTCAAGAGAATCATTTGTTTCGACCACCTGTCGCTTCTTGCAAACCAAACAGCATCTTCGGGTGTGAAGCAATTCGAGGGATATGAAGCAGCAAGTCTCCGACAGACTCTTTCCTCGACATAGTGGCTGGTTGCTTGTAAAAGGAAATATCTGTATTTTGGGCCTCACCAGGCAAAAGACCCAATGAGCACTTATCATCTAGGGTTAGGGTTATGGCTGAACCTTCTACAGACTCGTCATTCACTTTCCCGTCAACCCTGAATTCATCTTCAGAGATTGACTGTGGAAATTGAAAATTGGGATTACCATCCTTTTGTAAGAGGCAGCAAAGAGAGTTAACCCTAGCCATTAGGGATTTTTCGTCTGAGACCAAAGACAGCTGAGAATCACCAAACAAATGTTGGGTTAAGTCGTCTAAAACTTCTTTGTCCAAGGCGCTGGGGTTGCCTGATTCTCTTTGTTCAGAGAAGCAGAGTCCAATGTGATGAGCAAGGTCTTTCATGGATATCGAGGTACGGAGGCCAGGAACTTTGAGCAGGTCCCACTGGTTTTGATCCCTCACTTCCTCATTCTCACTGTTGCCGTTGTCCTCAATGGCTCGTGAGTCCATTACTGGGAATCAAGTGGAAACATGCGTTAGTTATTCTTTTTGTGATTTGTAAGAGATTTTTTTAGTGAAAATGGAGGTAAAAATGAACATGCCAGCTGATGACCAGAGCATAATCTGCATCAAGGTGATGTTACAGAGGTCTTCCTTTAAAAAGCTTGCCAAAATGTTGCAATATTATAATTCGCCCAAATTTTTTTTTTTTTGAGGAAAAGTTGATAACATATTTGTATTGCTATATCAAAAAATTACAATGCATGGTTTGGGCCCACATAAAGTGGGGTGCTGTTAGACTGCAGCGGTGAGCAAAACAGTTTTCTTGTTGAGATTCCGTTTTTCAACTTTTTGCATCACTTCAAAAAATTTCCCCTACTTTTACGTGTTTATTTTTGCCTGCTTCCAAACTTTCCTCATATGTTTGACCCAAGAATTTTCATAAAAAACCAAGAGCTTTCAGAAGCCTCCGCAGAGGTAACCTAGACAAAATTCTCAATAATGTTATTTATCACTAGGAAGGTCTTTGTGGACGTTCCGAAATCCATGCGTACTACATGATTCTTGTGACGAAATCATTTCCAAGAAAAATTAGGGAATTTTTCAATATTGTATTTCTGAATAACCCTTAGGGTGATTACAGGTAATCCAGGTCCTCACAAAAGAAGCCTCCCTTGTATAAGATAAAAGTTTGATGTCTTTATATGTTCTTGAAAAATCTATACTCAATTTACCACCAAGAAGTGGGCTTTACATGGGTAGTTTAATTGACTTGTGCTAAGTTCCAATAGACATGTCCTTTTGAAAACACATGACATCCAAAGGTTTATCATACTTCAAAGGAAATATAATCTTCCATAAATTAGGATAGGCCAAAATACCTGAGCTGGGTGAAGGAGTTTCAAGAGCTTCGGATGCTCTACCGACAGAATCCTGAACCTCGGACTTTGAAGATGATGCTTGTGTCATAGCCAGTGAAGTCGCATCTTGAAAACCTGGAAAGGGCGTTACATAATTGTTGCCAATGTGCTCAAAGCTATGACAGTTGGGTTCATCTGGATCCTCAAATACAGAGCCTCTTGAATCAAAATATGGATTATCCAAGTTTATACTTGATCTTTGACTCAACAAGTTGAGGCGAGGATCACACTGGATGAGCTTTTCAAAATGCTTATTCAATAATCCCTGCGCACACTGTAAGAAATGCCTCCTGCAAAAAACGCACCCAATATAAACACCTGTCAAAGCCATTCCTTCTCCCTAAGATCCCAGTTTTCATCTGTTCTTTCTCGCTTTTATAGGTTAAGAGGGGATGATAATAAAGAAAAAGTAAATTAAGGTATGGGCTCATAGAAAGCATGAATTCCGCAGAAGAAGAAATAAGCTTTCTGATGTGCTATTTATCAAAGCTTTAGGTCCTCTCAATTCTATCAAACTGGAGAGCCATATAGACTGTTCTTCCCGAATCCCTCATTGAAAGGGCACTCACTTTTTGGAGACCACATCTTTCAAAATCATTAACTAGTTTACTGTCTATCAAATGTGATGTCCAGCATCAAAGGCAGTCATGTGTTCATAAGGCCGTAAGTAGAAAAGCAAAACCCAAAAAATATAACTAGGTAATGGTAGTCGGTGCTAACAAACACATCTAAACAAAACCTTCCTTCTAATGAGGCAGAATTTATCAGATGGAAAAGGAATAAATCATGCAACTTGAAATGACTAAGCCTTTGCTTTCCCTAAGAAGATCAACAATCTAGTAGCTGACCCTCGCACATGCATCGCGCAGAGAAATTCAATGTATTCAAGTTCTTGTGCTAATATATTACATTACTCACAAAAGTTTCTCAATAGCATTAAATCAACCAAACCCTAACTTCCAAAATTACCAAACAGGGAGAATTTACTTCCAAAAAAAAAAAATGTTTCATCACACTTACTGTAGGGAATTTCATCACAATTACAAATGGGAAAGCTCTTTAATTCCCTTCATTCTTGCCCAATGCATCCACGCAATACTAAAAATGTTGCATAACACATGATATATGTTTTATCTTGAGAATCAAGTAAACTAATCTAAAATAGAGAACAGAACGTTTACTTCTATGCAGTCTTTGAAAGTAATAACATCGTCAACAGAAGCATGGTTGAAGTTACCTGTGTAATGATGCTTGTCCTCCAGTAAAATCGGAAGTTGCCTGCCATAGAGTGTGCTTCCGAGGTTGAGGGTTGGTCTCCCTGTAGAATTGGGGCTGCCTGGCCAACTGAATTAAACAAAAACCTGTGCTCCTTAGAAATAAGTAAAAGTGGAGCATGTGTATACAAATAACCAGTAGAAAGACAGGACTTACCACTATATCAAGTGTACCAGGCCCATTATCTGGGTAGTTTGCCTTCAAAGCAGTGATATCTGACCACTGAATCTCAATCTTGCTTTTAAGGCTACCATCAAGAACTTCCCAAACAAGCTTGTGCTTGGCAAAATAGCATTTTGCAACTAGATCTCCTTCGTACCTTGATATACACTGCCACCAGGTAAAATTCCAGTAAGATTATAAATTTTTGTACCCAAAATTTCAATCAAAGCAAACTGACAATCAAATATTTCACAGAACCACCAATGGCTTTTCTTTCTTTGTTTATTGCCTGTGACTTATGAGGTAAAGCCACCAATGGATTCATAAAGATGAGTTAAAAAGCTATACTGAAGATCAATTTCCAACAGAAAACACTTGTCATTACACACCACTATCATTAATCATTAAACCATTTATTTGAAGTTGCTATTACCTCCCAATTCCCAATTCGTAAAATTGAAGCAGGGAAGTTGGATGCCTTCAGCTTGTCAGCCGTACTAACTGACGCAGTTGCACACTTGGTGTCTTTTTTTGCCAACTCCAGCTTTCCATGGCTTTCAGCACCCCCAACGGTAATATCTCCCTGAGACAGTCTCATTTGAATCAAATCCAAGAGTGATGGACTCTTCCTCAATCTTAACCCAAGAGGGCTAGGTTCATTCAGTAGATTATAATAAGACGTTTGCTCACAGGTGCTCGGACTCATGCTCCATTGCTGCCATAAATAAACCAGCAAAGGATCAATAAATCAACTGGACATATCTTTTGTTTGTTTTTTTTTGGGTTGTAATTCATCAATTGGATACATTGAGGCTGAAGCCCTTTGCAATTACGAAAAAAATTGGCAAGATGTAGAAGACATCAATAGGCCTAAATTAAAAGAAATGTTTTATCATCAAGAAAAAGGAAAAGAAAGAAAAGCATGTTCCTAAAAACTTTAAGAATCCGAAATTTCTCAACCAATTATTTGAGATTCCTCATAACAAGAAACTTCATTATTTTTCGTAAATTTACCGAAACACACCGAAGAGACATTTCAACCATTCTCCAACATTTCAAAGCCCCATCAAGGTCCACATCATAAAGTCAGAAAATTGATGGAGGGACAACTTCCATTTTTAGACTTTCCTCCAGTGTTCACAAAGTCGAACCGGAACGGTTAACCGGACATGGGCCCAGAAGCAGTTTAACCGGTAAACCGGCCGATTCAACTACTCCAATAGGGCAAATCCCAACCGGTCAAAAAAGTGTTGAAAAAATTTAAAAAAATTTTCAAAGATACAAAAGAAAAATCTACTAAAATATGAAAAGCACATAAAGAATGATTAAAACAAAACGCATTCATTAGTGAAAAAAGAACTTCTAAATATTAACTTCTAAATACACTAGTTATTCACTAAGAAACATTAACTTCTAAATACAAGAGAAATTGCTGCTCAGAATTACGAGGCTATTCCAGTGACCAAGTGGAGAAATGTTATCGGTACTTGACCAGTCATCAAATTAGTAAGGGTAGTGGTCAGGTCCAAATCGGTCGGACAGGCCGCTTCACAGGTTAGAAAAGTCTAAAAAATAAAAATAATAAAAAATGGTTACTAACCAGCTGGATTGGGTTCACTAGTCGGATTTCTCTAAAAATATAAAGAAAAAGCATTAAAAGGAAGTGGTCAAAACCATTATGATCCAACTGGTTGAAGCAGCCAGTTCAAATGGGTTTTGACCGGTTGAGGCCGGTCTTGATTACTTGCCCTTTCGATGATCTAACCATACTGGTTGCAGGCTTGGCTCTCGATTGGACCAGCAGGTCCGGTCCAATCTAAGAGACATTAGAGACACCACATCACATGCTTATAGCAACAAAACAGTACTTCAGAAAGTAGACAAAAGTATATTTCTTAAGAATAGAAAGTCGACACAAGTTTCAACTTGTTTCTAAGCAAGTTTCCACCTATTTCTCATACTATAAGCAGGTTAAAAGCACCTTTGGGGCAACACACGTCAGTATTGCATAATATCAATCAGACTATGACGAACCATTCAGACAATATTCTCAACTTAGGAGATTAGGAATTCCAATTCCCAATTGTGCAGTCAGAGAGCTTCATTGAAACCCAACTAGACCATACCCAGTGCTTCTTGACTTGGGGTATGTGAGATTTATGCTCTAGTACACCCAATAAAATTAGATAACTGTAAAGAGCTAGCTTCCTTCATAGAGGAAGAATATGAAGACAGAAGTAACAAAAAGGTAAATGAAAAAGTGTTAGTACCACCCAATAGGCAAGAGTTAGTACCACCCAAGGGGAAAGATGGTCCACACATTAGAGAAAATGATCACAGTATCACACCATTTCTTTTTGAGTGATTTACATGCAGAACCTGAATTTTTTTCTAAAATACGAAATGCTCCGTTTATAGGAAGAAATTACAAAGAAGGTCGGTCAACCTGCCTTTTTTTATTTTTTCTAAAATTAGGCTTCGGTTTGAGAAAGAATTCCTTAGTCCGAACTTTTTTTCTTTTTTTTTTTTAGTTTTTTCGTTAGTAAGGCAGTGTCCCAAGCTTTAGGGTAGTGCCCTACTAATAAAAAAACAAAAAATAAAAATAAAATTCGGTCTGACCGAGGGGCAATTTTGGAAACAATAAAAAAATGTGGGTTGATTAACCTCCTTTGTAATTTCCACCTATAAATGGAGCATTTCGTATTTTAGGAAAAATTTTAGGGTCCGTACATAAATCACTCTTTCTTTTTTTGATAGTGATAAGTAATCCTACAAATGAGGCCTAACTAATTTGTGGAGATGGTATTTGGAGGGGCATTAGAAGTGAGTGCTAATATGTGAATACGTACTGGCCACTGGGTTCCATAATTTGGGAAGGTAGATCAAGGAGAAGGGAAAATGCCTTCAGAACTTGGCAGCAATTACTAGTGGATTGAATAATTTCAGAATAAATGTTTGGTGGTTGAAACTTGAAAACGGCTTTTATGCCACTTTTAGCAAAGAGATGGTGGAGAGATACTCTCAAGGATAGCTTCCCCCAGAATTCGTGCTTTAGCCAAGTTTGAATGCTATTCTTGAATTACCCAAAAAAGAACAAAAAATGAAGTGTAGAGTGATAGATTAATGCAGTCCGCAAATGCATACGTTTCCACCTGGATTTCTATCTAGGAATGAATCAAAGTTTAAATTGAAGATCTCTTCAAGACCTACAAACCTTATATTCTAATTCGGACATCTCAGGCATCAAATCATTGTCTGAACACAGGGATCAATTTATTTGTGAATAGTGATATTCCATAAGTTCATGTTTAATTAGATTATGGAAGTATGAGTTTTTTCTTGGGATTCAGATTATGGAAGTATGAGTTCTTTGTATTGTATTTTGTTTAGTAAGGCTTTTCTTTCCAAATTATTAGTTTGAGTTACTTTACTATTTTGTTAGAAGGGTTCTACAAGATTGGGTACCTTCCACATTTTATAAAGGGGTTAGTTTACTCATTTATAAAGGATTTAGTTTCCCAATGTTGAAAAGGTGAATTTTATAAAATCTACAGTTTGCTTGGAATCCAAGCCAAATAATAGGAGGGTAAATCAAAGTTTTTTAAATGGGTATATTACCAAGATAAGAAGGTTTTTAATTCTTTGTATCAATTTTTTGCAGTTTGATGCTAGGTATAATTTTATTAAACGATGCTTCAGGTGTGATAATTGCACAAATAGGTGCCAACTGCCTATTAATCAATTTTTCTAAAATAGTATATTACATAAGAGAACAAAAGAGCTTTTTTTTCTCTTTACATTCTTTTAGTCTGATAAAGAGCTATATGAAAGAAGGCCTTCTTAGGTTTGTACAACACCCTCCCACCCCCCCACCCCCCTCTTTTCCAAAATCCTAACACGCCTCTAAGGCAAAAGGAAGGCACCTTGTGTAAAATGTGTCCCAGGGGTCCTGCCTGCCTACTCGTCTAGGTGGGCAAATTTTTGAACATTGGTTTAGTAATGATCCAAAACTCAAATCAGAGATCTCTTAGAGAACTACAAACACTGTCTTCCTAATTCAGTCATCTCGGGCATCAAACCGTGGTCTGAAGTAATGTGATGAATTTAATTACAAATTTTGATATTAATTAAGTTTAGGTATAATTAGAGTAGGAAAGTATGATTTAATTTTTTTGGTATTTCATTTAGTAAGTTTTTTCTTTCCAAATTATTAGTTGGAGTTAGTTTGTTATTATGTTAGAAGGGTTCTAGTACATTGGGTACCTTCTTTTATTTTATAATTGGAGCAGTTTTCTAATTTTATAAAGGATTTAGTCTTCTAATATTGGAAGGCTTGAATTTTTATGAAGAATAGAGATTTCTGGGAATCCAAGCCAAGCAATATTAGGAGGGTACTAACTCCATGAATAGATCTAAGACCATCGGCCATTGAAATTGAGGTTGACTTAAGAATAAATTTCACTTTGCTTGATGGTTTCTTATTCCATCTTGAGGTGTTGATGCCTCTTCTTTATGGTGCTGAGTGCTGACTCCGAGAACCTAGTTTTCTATTGGTGTTGATGCCAACATAATTATAGGCCTTCGAACTTGCGCAAGGTGTTGGCTCCTTACAGAAGTTAGGATTTTCTTCTTGGCCAACCCTTTCTCTCTTCTTTTTTCTATCTATCCCAGCAATTGACACCCTGAGAAAACTCCATTTCCATCATCCCACAAGCTCTTCTAAACGCTTGAAAAACCAGCCCCCATCAAATCCCCCTCATATACCTTCCATTCCCAGCGTTCCAACCCTAGATTCCTTAGTCTCATCCTTGTATCTTGCTGGACCGCCATTCAGCAAACTCTATTCAAACCATTAATTCAAACTCTAAACTTTACCTCAGTCACACAATACATCCCTCGTTCAGGCATGGATAAAGTGATTAGGATCCCAGCCTCTTCCAAGAGGTTCTCAGTTTCGACACTCAACAATTGTCGCCATACCTTTATCATGGCAAATAGAACTTGAGAGGCCCATTGTTCCCCAAAAATCCAGGCTTTCAACCAGTTAGTTGTATCCAAAAGAATCCTCAGAGTCAGTTACAAAGGCGAGGTATTCACGTCACAAACTGCTGTGTCATGTGCAAAGAAGCCGACTAGATCACCGACCACTGACCACCTCTTCATCTGTTGTCCGCTGGTGAGCCAACCATAGTCCACACTATTCCAATTGCCTGACTGAGCCTAAGTCACTACACAGTCCATCCAACAATTGCTCCGTGCCTTCCTACTGTGGCAAGTCTCTAACCTTGCCACAATATGAGCCATTTGGGTGAAGTGTGATGATAGTATCTTCGAGACATGAGAATCCAGCATTCACGCTTTGAAAGACTGCATCAACTCGATGGTGGTATTTGGGGCTCTGTCATAAAGAACTTCAAGCCTATTTGTTGGCATAACCTAGGCGTTGCTATTGGAGACCACCTGAGCAAGGGGGCTATCAAGCTAAAATTTGATGGCTGCTCCCTCGGAAAATCAGGGGTAAGAGGGATTGAGGGCTTTTTTAGGAACTTCTCATCTCAACTATTGCTGCCAACTCGAACCTGATCAGCACCACAGATTCCATGATGGCTGAAGGTCCACTTGTTTGAAGGCCTGAAAGGATTTGATATCAATTATGGGCATACACTCCTAATTGAAGGGGACCTAGAAAATGTTACTTAACGGCTAGTAAATCAGTCCTGTCCCCTGGAGACTGGAACCTATTTTTTACCATATCTTTGAGCTCTGCAGCTCGTTGCAGGCTGCTTTTTAAGCACACATGGCATGGGGCCAACGAGGCAGCAGATACCTTAGCTAGCCAATGTTTTGTAATTAACCATCCCACATGGACCCAATAAGTAGTGCAGATTCCACGATGCCTGAAGCAGTAGCTCTACTTGATGTCCTGAAAAGATTTGATATCAATAGGAAGCACCCGCCACTAGTTGAAGGGGACTCAAAAAGTGTTATTTCATGGGCAACTAAATCAGTCCTATTGCCCTGAGAGTGGAACCTACTTTTGGTCATATCTTTGAGCTCTGCAGCCCATTGCAGTGGCTTTTTAAGCACACATGGCATAAGGCCAACGAGGCAGTAGATACCTTAGCTAGCAAATATTTTGTAATTTACTTCGCATATGGACCCAATAGGCATTGCAGATATCACAATACCTGAAGCAGTAGTTCTACTTGAGGTAATGAAAAGATTTGATATCAATTGGAAGCATGCACTCCTAGTTGAAGGGGACTCAAAAAAATGTTATTTAATGGGTTTCTAAGTCAGTCCCTAGCCCCTGGAGACTAGAACCTACTTTTGATCATTTGGCCGAGTTCTGCAGCCCATTGCAGGTGTCCTTTTAAGCACACTTGGCATGAGGCCAACACGGCAGCGGATACTTTAGCTAAACAGGGGTTTCTAGCCAATATTTTGCAATTAACCCACCGTAGCTATGTCCATCCAGTTTTTTTTTTTCTTTTGTGAATAGAACACCAGATTTTGGTGTTTGAGTGAATTCATGTCAACTGTACATTTTCTTCTATAGTTAATATATGAATCAATTTCAACAAAAATGATATATTATCCTAAAATTCCAAAAAATTAGATGATCATGAAAAGAATCATCAGCATTATTGCTGCTTCCAAGTTTATTCATATGGGTAGATTGCAATATTCACAAAGTTATCAGGAACAAAATAATACCCATAACAATTTAATAAAACCTAGAAAACTGCAAGAAACATTCATTTATCCCAGTCAAACAACACAAAATTTTGATTCTGAACTATCTACGATTAATATTTCAAGTTAGGAAACCTAAGACAGCAGCACAAAAAGGAATCCGAAAAATATAAATGCTCTAGCATTTTTGCAACAACACACAACCATCAAAAAACATTAATGAGAGAGAGAGAGAGAGAGGGAGAGAAGATATACAAACTTCCGTTGAAAGTTATGCAACAAATCCAAAAGATTGCAGAAAAACTAATCCATAAAAGCCCAAGAAACAATCCAAAGAAACCAACCTCAAAACCCCAATCAAAATGAAAAGCTAAAACAACATAGAACCTTATCAAACACAAATCCTGAAACAACCCAAAATCCAATCAACCCAAAAAAAAAAATGAAAAGCTAAAACAACATAGAACCCAATCAAACACAAATCCTGAAACAATCCAAAATCCAAGTACATCAACCCTCTACTCCAGAAATGAAGCCTAGACATAAAGAAGCAACAGTAGAAAGGGGATTATTACACAGAAATCACAACAAAGAACTCTTTCTTCTCACCTGCTGCTTCAAGGGAGACCCCAACTTAGCTCGCTTATTCACTGAACCATGCTCGTCCTCTAATGGATCCTCCACCTCTACCTTCACGTTACTAACCGAAAAATTGTGATCCGGCAGGTATCCGGCCATGGATTTGAAATTTTCCGGCTTAAAACCACCGGAATTCACAGACTGAACCATTTTCCAAGAACCCAAAAACCCTAACTCAGGAGCTGAAGAAAAGCTAAGAATCTTATCCAGAACCAGAAAGGCAAAGCGTAAAACCTAGAAATCAAAACGGAGAAGCACAAAGAAACCCTAAAAATGAGGTAAAAGAAGAATCTCACAGCGTCGCCTCCTCTCTCTACTCTCTCTCTCTCTCTCTTTACTTTCCCTCTCTTCTCTCTCTCTAAAATCTGTAATTTTGGGGCGACTGCGGAGAGTTTGACGGAGCTACGAAACTACAAGATCTTACGCACGTGTAAATTACGCGTGTCAATGAGGACAGAGTAAGGTGTACTATTTTGAGGATATTACTGAAAAAACCGAAAGTATTTCTACAATGACAAGAGAGCCCTTCTTTTTATAGAAAATAGCATGATGCCTTTTACTCGATTTGGGTATACGTAATTTAGTATTATGACCCTTTTGACCTCGTAGGACCAATGGGCTGGAACATTCGACTGGGACATTTTCATTTATAAAGGGAAAAGTTTATATAGAGCCGAGGCTCTAAACAATCAAATAAGTTACATCAAAAAATTTGCTACTTTGCTAGAAGAGGTTGTTTTGATGTCTAAATATCCTCAATTTTGATCCCCTCAATATCAAGATGCATGAATATGAGAAAAAATGGATTTCAAGTTTTGAAAATAATGTATTTTGTAACTTTCAATTTTCAAGATTTTCAAGTTTTAATAGATCTGTCAATCTATACTATTCCCTTATCTAAATAGGGAAATTTGGCTCATTGACATGCCTCACTAATACCTTCCAAAAAAAACCAACTCCTTAATTATTTGAAAAAAAAAAAGGATAGGGGCTGTCTATCCCATTTAGTTACATTTTTTAAAAAAAAAGTTTCTATAAAGCCTAGGCTTTATGAAAACAAAATAAAACATCACTTTAAATCATTATTCAGAAAGCACTTTTGGCGACCCAAAAATCTCTATGATGGCTCCAAAATCAATTTCCAACACAGACAATAAATTTTGAAACTAAAAAAATGGCACAGATCTTGTCGATCTTTGTACACTTTTTCTTAGGGAGAAATAGATGGTCTAGATAATTTGATATAATATACACTATTTTTAAAACTTGAAATCTTAATTATTATTTTTTCACAACCACCATTATTAATGTAAAGGTTTTCCAATGCTTAAATTAAAATTTTTGATGAGTTATGAGATGAGGCTTTACTTATTTTGATAGAACTGCAACCCTATCAAATTATTTTCCTAAACATATATCAATATAGGGAAAATTATAAATAAATAATAAATAAATAACCAAGACTTCCTATGCAATTTACCCCCAACCAAACTTTTTTTTCCACTTTTTACCCCAAAATATACTTTCCTAGTAAATACCCCCAAGTAAAAAAATGTCCATTTTTTTTTTGATGAAAATACTTTTTTTTCGTACATAAAAATTTAATTTTTGCTGGACATTCACGTGGGCTTACACACAGTACCAAAAGCTACATGGGCTGCGAAACCGCCATGTACCAATTGCCAAACCCTGTTAAACTAGAAAAAGTATAGTACTGCCTACATTATCTGCCGGACCGCATATAGATTTGTCGGACCGCATATGTAGATTTACCAGACTGCATATATAAAAGTGTCGGACTGCCGTATATATCTGCCGAACTGCATGTTTGTCTAGGAACAGAAGTGTCAAACCTGTCCAGGAACAGAAGTGTCAAACCACCATAGGGATTTGCTAGACTGCATTTTGTCCAGGAAAAAAGTGTTGGACCGCAATGTACATTTGTCTAATTGCATGTTTATCCAGAAAGAATAGTGCCGGACCGCCATGTATATCTGCTGGACCGCACTTTTGTCCAGAGGAGAGAAAGCGTAGGTAAAAGTTGAGGAAGGGTAGTTTGGTCTTTCTTTTATTTTTTGGTTGGGGGTATTTGCTAGAAAAGTATATTTTGAGGTAAAATATAAAAAAAATAGTTTTGTTGGGGTAAGTTGCATAACAAGTCTATGCTTTGGGGTGTTAATTGTAATTTTCCCATCAATCCATCAATATTTAGATATGTATATATGTATCAATGCTAGATGCAAATTGTTTACATGCCACTGTTTCAAAACTTGGAATAAAAATCCCACTACCTAGGCGTTTCATTCGTAGTCGCTCGATCTAAATCTCGAGTTAATCTGGGCTATATTTAAAATGAGAAACTTAAATAAAGGAAACAAGAAAATCTAGATATGCAGATGATTCTAGAAACAATAATTTGTTAAAATATGCATTTTTTTTAGAGTTTGAAATCCTAACTTTTTTACACAACCATAATGTTCATGTAGAGATGATCGATGTAGAGGTTTTCCAATGCTTAAATTATAAGTTTCAATAAGTTATTAAGTAAGGTTTTACTTATTTTGACAGGTCTGCAGCCCTATCAAACCATTTTCCTTAGTGTAATGAACTCTTTTATAACTGGAAGCCACAACTTCCCGTTATTGTAGCACATCCTGCATGTGTTAATGGGAAAGTGCTATATTGTTTTGGAAGTCATAGCTTCCTATAGCTTCCAAAATGGTTTTTTTTTGTTTTTTTATTTAATACTTCATTTCCAAAAAGGCTTTAAAATGGGCTTAATGAGGAAAGCAACTTCCATACTACCCATGAAAGTTGTGGCCTCTGAAGTTTATGAAAGAGGTACCAAGGCATCTGTTTTTTGCGCCAATCAAACACGCTCTTATGGAAAGTAAATTTCCAACTCTAGCTTACCATTCCAACAATTCATAGTTTTAAACACTTGACATAGATTTCTCTCTCTCTCTCTCCATAAAAAATATTCTTAACTGTTCATTGATCTCTTACCATGAACTCTAACTAGTTTCATACTCAAAAGAGCAATGCCTAGCCCTCATGTTATCTGTCTTCAATGGGAAACTATCTTTTTTTTTTTTTGGGTAATTCAATGGGAAAGATAGCCCTTACCCATTTTTTTTTTAATCTATGGAGTTAGCTTTTTAATGATATAAGTGGGTAGTATCAACAGGATTGAAAACCACAATGTGGTGAATAAGTATGGGAGTGCTACCACCATGACCCAACTCTTTTCTTGAAGGGAGACTATCTTCACACACATATATATTGAGAGGGATATTCCTAATCTTTCATTAGCTGGTTCCTAGGAAGCGGATTATTATTAAGCAATTCCATGGTCCATGGGAAAGTCACGACAATGAAGCCCAACTGTTGTAAACTAAACTATTAATTCTTTTCCTCCATTAACATAAATGGTTCTTGGGCCACTCTCCCTTTAAAAAAGGAAATCTATTGTCAAATTAAAAAAGACAGCACTTTTTCCAAGTATATGCAAACTAGTGGCCCTATGTTTTATACTAAACTAATATACATCCCAAATCCTCTCTCTTTTGCATTCGTTACATACGAGTGTGCAGGTATCTTGTTAAGGTTTTCGATGTATTTTAGCATTTGACATTTAGGTGAGTTAGCGGGGTGAAGGCCCTTACCTTTTTGTAGGAGTTGAACCTGGAACCAGCTAATTTACCAACTACTTATTATTGGCCCTTGGCCAACTTTCGAAGCCGGTTAGATTTTTTGAACACTGCACCTCCAAGTGATAGAAAAAAGGGATAGAAGTCGAAATAAATATCTTTATAATGAGATTAAGCAGAAAGCATAGAAAAAGTGTCTAGATTTGTATCGACACTTGCATAGGTTTTTTAGTGGTGATTTTTCTCGTTTCTCTTATCATTATTTACTAGTTTCCTCTTCAAAATGACAAGAATAGACTTGTCATAATAATAAAAGTAGGCATATCATAAAAAATTAAAAATAGGATTTATGTGTCATTAAACAAATGTTTGTCCTGTGAGAGGAAGTCAAAGTTTTCCAAATTTCGCGAAAAGGAAATGCCACGTGGAATATGCCATGTGTTATTTGGGCCAGCATGTGAACATTCTGGATTCAAGTCGTATACGTGGCGGATCCTTATTGGCCATATGCCACGCTCGTGTCGTGACTTACACGTGTCAAATAGAATCCATGTCGGCGTATGCCACGTGTCAGTTGAAGTTGTCCTCCACCATCTGGATAAAGTGGGGGATGCCTTGGTCCCACCAAGCAACGACGAGGATTATGAGACATATTTTATTATTAAAACAAGTCCAACCACGAAAATGAACGAAATTTCGGTCAATTTCGGAAGATTAAAGCTGACGCGTATTTGCATTTCGGCCAATTACAATGAACCTAGTACGCAATTTATTGGCCCAATTTGGACTATTAGGCGCCGAAATTTCGGGTGTGCTGGAAAACAGAATATCAAAATCATGAGCTGTGCCTTCGAAAATTTCGCCGATATTTTATACCCCTCGGAGCATACGACCTTTTGGCACTATAGATGCTCCCGCGGGAGCATTAACTTTTTGGTATTTTGCATAGTAGGCTATATTATGCCCCCTCGGAGGTTACTAAAAATAGTTTGTGTTTTTCTTTTTTTATTTTAAAATCTTCATGATCCATCTAACTAGACAATTATAAAAAAAAAAAAATTTGGAGTTCTTAAACATCTAGATCATTCCCTCTGAAAATTAAATAGCTCTAGTGCAATCTTGGATGCTATTTCTTTTAGGCATGAGGGAATTTTTTTTTTTTTTTTCAAATTGGGTTCTAGAGCTCACTTCTAAAATTTTGGTTCTAAAAGATATTCCGAGTGTAGTATTGCTTGAGAGAGTAGATAAATAGTATATACCACAGGAGTTTTACCTCTACATAGCCAATAGCACATGGTGTGGCGTTACCACATGGACATGTTAAATAAACTACACTACTCAAAAGTGTCAAAAAATTTATGAACAGGAGAACAACCGTGCTTGTTCTTTGATACGAAATGGATTAAAGCAATATGAACATGTGGAACACGTGAGAGAGTACAGGTATTGTGACGTGCACGTGAGGATGTCATAATCTTTTTTAGTATTTTGAGGTGAAATGGTTGACTTTAAATAATCATATGGGTTACTTGTGATGGTATGCTCTCTCTTGAATTGATAAATGAGATTTTTGACTTTCGAGCGATCATTGGAGTGAGTTTAATCCAAGAATAGTTGCCCCTTTTTATGTGGAGGACTTAAGAAGCGATCTCAATGTTTGAAATGATCTTTGGGTGAAATTATTGACTTTATTAAGATTAAATGAAAGATCTTAAGGTGAAATTCTTGACTTT